TCTTATAAAATTTTCCTTTTAGTCTTAGCGGTACTTTTCTATCCCACAAAAGGCCCGAAGCATTCCTCCACTTCACCCAACCAACTTGAATTCAAATATTAACATCCCCATCTATATCACCATCGCTTTGAACAAAGGACCTAAGATATCTAAATCATTCACACCTTTTAATAGTTTGATCACCCAAAGTCACAATTTTGTCAGTAGAGCTACTACAACTAAAATTACATTCCATGTATTCAGTTTTAGTTCTACTTAAATGAAGGCCTTTAGACTCCAATGTACACCTCCATAAATCAAGTTTTTCTTAAGCTTTTTCTTTCGTTTTATCCATGAGAAAGATATCATCAACAAAAAGCATACCCCAAGGTACATCCTCCTGTAGATGTCCAGTAAGACCATCCATAACTAAAGCAAAAAGATATGGGCTTAAAGTCGATCCCTGATGTAAACCAACAGAAATAGGAAAATATTTTGTCAATCCTCCTTCAGTTTGAACACAAGTAACAGCTCTAGTATACATATCTTTAATGACTTGAATATAATTCATATCAACACCTTTCTTCTCAAGAACTCTCCAAAGGATGTCTCTTGGAACCTTATCGTAAGCTTTTTCTAAATCAATAAAAATCAAATGTAGATTCTCCTTATTATCTCTGAACTTCTCCATCAAACCTCTCAATAAATGTATAGCTTCCATAGTAAACCTGCCCGGCATAAATCCAAATTGATTATGAGAAATCGCTGTAATGCATCACCTATGTTCAATTACCCTCTCCCATAATTTTAAAGTAAGACACATCAACTTAGTTCCTCTATAACTTGCACACTCTTGTGCATTACCTTTATTCTTAAAAATGGGGACCAAAATACTCTTCCTCCCTTCCTAAGGCATCTTTTAGTATTTAAAATAATATTAAAAAGTTTAGTAAGCCAAGACTCCCAAATCTCCTAAACATTTTCACAGTTCAATTTGGATATCATCAGGTCCTACAGACTTTCCACCCTTGGTTTTCTTTAAAGCCTCCTCAACTTCTTTATTATTATTAATGATATCAAGATCACTAAGGTCGATCTTATTTTCATAAACTTCATTAAAAAGTTTATCAAAATAATTTACCCACCTATATTGAATATCTTTTATTAAGAAAAATACTTTTTGATTTACATCTTTAATACACTTTACAGAGTTAAATCCTTACTTTTCTTTTTTCTTTTTTTGTCTAGTTTATACATATACTTTTCACTCTCTTTAGTATCTAATTTTTTTATAAAGTCATCAAAAGCTGAATTTTTAACGTCACAGATTGTTCTTTTAAACTCCCTGCGGGTCGGTTGGTATTTTCTTACAGTCATTTGATAGTTTTCCCAGTTCTTTAAGATTTTACATTTAAACTAATTTTTATAACAAAACTTCTATTTTACATTCTCTTGCACATTATTATTTCATCCCATATTATTATTCCACAAGCAACTATTTTTATTTATAAAATTTTTTTCTTTTAATTCTTCAAGCACATCTTTCGCTACTGTTTAATAGTGTTTGTTACTTTATCTCACATAACATTTGTTTCCTCATGAACATCCCAATTTTTGAAATCTTGAATTTTACTCAAAAGAATAATTTTAGTTGTATCTTTCAGATCCTCCATCTAACTCTACAATGATGAGTCCTAGTATTCTTTATTTTACAACTCTTTATTTTAAAATCTAAAACTAATAAATGATATTGGGTGCTTAAATTCTCATTTGGAATGACTTTATAATCTTTACAATCTCGACGATCTTTTCTTCTCATAAGAAAATAATCAATTTGTGTTTTATTAGATCTGCTCTTATAAGTAATAAGATGCTCGTTTCTTTTCTTGAATAAAGTATTAGTAATAACAAAATCATACGCTAAAGTAAAATCGAAAATAGCTCTACCTTTTTTATTAGTTACTCCAAAATCGTAGACACCATGAGTATTTCTGAAGTATTCTACCACTCTACCAACATGTACATTTAAATCTCACAAAGATCAAATCCAATAAAGTTCTTTTTTAATACAAGAGGTATCATTTGTATTAAATCTTCTAAGTCATTCCAAAATTTATCTTTAGACTCTGTATCTAAACCTACTTGAGGAGCATAAACACTTATAATATTAAAAATATTAGTATTAATGATAATCTTAAGGGCTATAATTTTATCTCCAACTCTATTAATTTTTACAACATTATCTTTCAACTCTTATCTATAATTACACCTACACAATTTCTAGTGCGACTCTTACTAGAATACCAAAGTTTAAAACCTAAATTATCAATCTTCTTAGTCTTTTCTCCAATCAATTTAGTTTCTTGAATACATAAGATATTAATTTTTCTATAAATCATAATATCAACTAATTCCATTAATTTACTATTGAGAGTACATATATTCCAGGATCCTATCATAATATTAGTTTCATTAATTTCATGGACTAACTTTTTTACCCACATTCGTCTGTAATGTGAGAAACCTTGCTTATTTGACACAAAACTCGGGCGCCAATGTAGCGGCCCTTGCACACTTTTCACTTTATTCAAGATATACAGCAGCGCGTCGCTTCCAAGAGACGGCCTAGTACTTACACAATGATCAAAAGGATTCATGTCATGATTTTTTTTTATAAATTTTACACTGACTGTTAATTGTCTAACGCAACTCTCCACTTTTTACATCCGGGCTTCAGACCACAATGGCAGTGTTAAAATACACTTTTAAGTCAAAAAAAAAAGAAAATCATAATTGGGGTTAAATTAAAATCTTAATTATGAATTTCATGAATTTTTAAGGGATTGCGAATTTTTGGTTGTTTATACTAGCCGGCAAGCTCAACGTGGGCTTGGAGATACTCCTTGTAGAGTTGCTCCGTCCATTCAGGTAAAAAAAATTTATGCTATCTAAGAAAGATAACTCTTTGTAGGTTTCCATGTGATTATGTTTCACACAATTGCATTTAAGATTTTCTGCATATTGTGGATAATAACATATAGACTATATGAATGCAAAAAAGATTTGTCCCTTATGATAACCATGATTAGTCTATGCTATGAATCTGACGAGCATATTTATTGATTTATTTTTAGCAAGTATTTGTTACTATGATTCATGCATATGATATATGAAATGCCCGTTAAGAAAGTTTATAATAAAAATGGTGATTTAAAAAAAATGTCACAA